CAATTTACATTGCCATAATACAGACCAGGACCGCCGGGCTCATTAGAAGCCCGGCGGTCCTGTTGGGAGCTGACAGCGAGCTCTTACTTACCTTCCTGCAGCTCCTGTCAGCTCCCTCCTCCTCCGTGCAGCTCCTCGGTCAGCTCCGTTCTGCTCACAGTGTAAGTCTCGTGAGACTTACACTGTAAACAGAACGGAGCTGCATGGAGGAGGAGGGAGCTGACAGGAGCTGCAGGAAGGTAAGTAAGAGCTCGCTGCCAGCCCCCCCCCCCGACTGAACTGCCAATGCCACTGGACCACCAGGGATTTAACATTATTTTATTTTAATAATAATATAATAATATTATTAAAATAATATTATATTATTATTTTAATATTTGCATTATTTTTTTTAAAATGTTTTTTGTCCCCCCTCCCTGCTTGTTACCTGGCCAGGGAGGGGGGACAAAAAACATTTTAAAAAAAAATAATGCAAATATTAAAATAATAATAATATAATAATAAAATAATATTATTTTTATTATTATTTTAATATTTGCATTATTTATTTTTAATGGTTTTTTGTCCCCCCTCCCTGCTTGTTGCCTGGCCAGGGAGGGGGGACAAAAAACATTTAAAAAAAAAATAATGTAAATATTAAAATAATATTATTATTTTAATATTATATTATTATTTTTAATATATAAAAAAGTAATATTAAAATAAAAATATAATAAAATAATATTATTTAATACTATATTATTTTATTATATTATTATTTTAATATTTGAATTATTTTTTTTTTAAATAGTTTTTTGTCCCCCCTCCCTGACCAGGCAACAAGCAGGGAGGGGGGACAATAATGCAAATATTAAAATAATAATAATATTAAAATAATATAATAAAATTAAAATAAAAATGCCCTCCCCTCATCCAGTTTATACACACTGCATTATTTACACACACAACACACAAACACACACAACACACACACTACATTCATTATATATACACACACAAACACACACTCTGCATTCATTATATACACACACAAACACACACTCTGCATTCATTCTATACACACACTGTAAATATTCAATTAATGTAATTTTATTGGGATCTAATTTATAAATTTACCAGTAGCTACTGCATTTCCCACCCTAGGCTTATACTCGAGTCAATAAGTTTTCCCAGTTTCTGTGGAAAAATTAGGGGCCTCGGCTTATATTCGGGTCGGCTTATACTCGAGTATATACGGTATGTAAAAATATTACATAAATATACATGTAGAATTTATACTTTAAAATATATTTTTTTTAAGTCTACATGTATATTTATGCAATCATATATAATTTGTTTAAAATTTGTGTGTATATATATATATCTCCCAGAGAAGTGCACTCAGAGTGCTTGTAGTCTTGTGCGATATATCCTTTTATGAGTGCAAAGGCACAGTCATGGTTTTAGTCCGACTTTTTTCAAGACCGAGGCAAGAACAGGACAGGAATGTGAGTGCCAAGCCTATGTTAGATATGGCGATATATATAATCTCACAAAAGTGAGTACACCCCTAAGTGGAACTGTCCAAATTGGGCCCAAAGAGTCAATATTTTTTGTGGCCATTATTTTCCAGCACTGCCTTAACCCTCATGGGCATGGAGTCCACCAGAGCTTCGCAGGTTGCCACTGAAGTCCTCTTACACTCCTCCATGACGACATCACGGAGCTAGTGGATGTTGGAGACCTTGCGCTTCCCCACCTTTCGTTTGAGGATGCCTCAGAGTTGCTCAATGGGGGTTAGGTCTGTAGACATGCTTGGCCTTTACCTTCAGCTTCTTTAGCAAGGCAGTGGTCGTCTCGGAGGTGTGTCTGGGGTAGTTATCATGCTGGAGAACTGCCCTGCTGCCCAGTCTTCAAAGGGAGGGGATCATGCTCTGCTTCAGTATGTCATAGTACATGTTGGCATTCGTGGTTCCCTCAATGAACTGTGGCTCCCCACTGCCGGCAGCACTCATGCAGGCCCAAACTATGACACTCCCACCACCATGCTTGACTGTAGGCAAGACACACTTGTCTTTATACTCCTCACCTATTTACGCCACACATGCTTGACCCCATCTGAACCAAATAGGTTTATCTTGGTTCCAGTAATCCATGTCCTTAGTCTGCTTGACTTCAGCAAACTGTTTGAGGGCTTTCTTGTGCATCATCTTTAGAAGAGGCTTCCTTCTGGGATGACAGCCATGCAGACCAATTTGATTCAGTGTGCGGCGTATGGTCTGAACGCTAACAGGCTGTTCCCCCACGTCTTCAACCTCTGCAGCAATGCTGGCAACACTCATACATCTATTTCCCAAAGACAACCTCTGGATGTGATGCTGAGCACGTGCACTCAACTTCTTTGGTCGACCATGGCGAGGCCTGTTCTGAGTGGAACCTGTCCTGTGAAATCGCTGTATGATGTTGCCCACTGTGCTGCAGCTCAGTTTCAGGGTCTTTGCAATCTTTTTATAGCCTAGGCCATCTTTATGTAGAGCAAGAATTCTTTTTTTCAGATCCTCAGAGTTCTTTGCCATGAGGTGCCATGTTGAACGTCCAGTGACCAGTATGAGAGAGTGTGAGCGCGATAACACCAAATTTAATACACCTACTCCACATTCACACCTGAGACCTTGTAACACGAACGAGTCACATGACACCAGGGAGGAAATATGGCTAATTGGGCCCAATTTGGACATTTCCACTTAAGGGTGTGCTCACTTTTATTGCCAACGGTTTAGACATTAATGGCTGTGTTGAATTATTTTGAGGGGACAGCAAATTTACACTGTTATACAGGCTGTGTACTTACTACTTTACATTGTAGCAGAGTGTCATTTCTTCAGTGTTGTCACATGAAAAGATTTAAAATATTTACAAAAATGTGAGGGGTATACTCACTTTTGTGAGGTACTGTGTGTCACGCCAATGGTGCATAATTCATTGTTGTACAATAAAATATTGCCATTTAATGTAATTTGTGTAGTGCATTTATGAATTGGCCACTTTGTTGCAAGGTCCGATGACAGAAGAGGTAATGTAAATTGCATAGGAATGTGAAAGGGGGCAGTTGGTTTACCATATGGATTGATCCTTTGATTAATCAAAGGCTCTGCAATGTGTGAGAAGTCACACATAAGTGGCCTGGAAGTCTGGTTTAAATTTAAACTCTCTAAATTGCCATATGTCTAGATTTCCTCTTAGATAGGGGGTCCTTTGATAGGCTAATGACCATTAGCCTTGTGTTCCAGTATCATATCCAAAAGAAACATTAATATTTACCCACAGATTAATAATTAAGCCACATTTTTATTATATTCAGAATGGGACAAGCACAATCTTCTAATCAAGCCCAAACATGATGTGTGTACCTTAACCATAGGGGAAGGGATTGTGATATCCGCTATATTGGGTCACAAGTAAGGAGTGGACTTATATATGGATTGGAAAAATTGTAACAAATTCATAGATAGAATTATTATTTCTGTGGCAAGTACATAAGAGGAGATGTTTCCATTTGGATTGATGTTGGTCGGGAAGACAAGGTGGTGGTCACTTATAGTTATAATAGGTACGCCTTATCTCCACCTCTGGGAGAGGCTTGGTAAACCACAGGGTATATATCTTATGATACTGAAGTGTGTTTTGTTCTTGCTTGGGGACCAGAATACAATTCTAAGTGAGTCACCACCTTTCCTACCAGAGACCCCCCGGGCAGTAGTTTTACCTTGAAAACCCGAGTAAGTGATTAGGACTTCTATTATTATATCCCTTTTGTTTTTATCTGTTGTTGGTGTAACTAATTTGATTTTCATCTATATTTTTGTATGCACTGAGACTATTTTTTGCTCATAATAAATATTTCTTTATTAAGTTCTGCCTTTGTCATGTAAAGAATCACGTTGCCTGAAGAGACTAATTAGTATTTTGCAATTACATAGATATTGTGCTAAGTTATATTTGGTGGGTTTTTATTATTAAGTTACCTGGGGGACCAAGGCACCCCATATATAAATTGTCTTGGTGGTGGCAGCGTTGAAATTTTAATATTTATATTATTGTGGTGTTAAGTGGGATTTTATCATTATTTCCGGTCTAGTGCAGATAAATAGTGAACTTTAACCCTTTCACCACCACAACTACATCATGCACACTCTTGATGTAGGGTGCATTTGTGACACCGTGTATGTTTATATATATTTAATTATAAGTGTATTTTTATATGAATATAAATTTTAAAATAGTTAGAATTAAAAATATAATTTATTTTTATTAATTTTATAAATGCAGCCTTTCAAAGTCCTCTCCTGTAACCCAGCCCAGACTTTATAGGGCTGTCCAATCACAGACCCAATGCATCCAGGTCGTTGAATTATTAAAGACGTGATGGAATACTTTTTCTTTTTTTATATTGGAGACTGTTTTTTGTTTGTTTTTGGCATAGTTGTCAGGAATACCGCAATGAGCTCCTATGGTATTTGCTGTAAATTAAAACACAAATTGTTCAAACCATGTGTCCCATTATTCTGTGCCTGGGGCAATTGCAAACTGCATGCCAAGTAGTGTCTTTGGAGGGTACCACCACACATCTTCTTTGCCAGCTTTTATGTTCTGTGTGCTTCCAGTGCTGAGTTATTACTTTGAGTCTATAACTGTCTAAAGCTATCTCTGAGACTCTGGAACATGGACCATTACTTTCTATTCAGCCTCAACACATATACGCTTAACAAACAAATTCCTCAGTAACAACCCAGACATTGCAAGGGGCATCTCCAGCTTTTCTTAATGCTGCAGTACAGTAACAGTATTGATGAAACTGTTTGTGTGTAATATGCAACTATACAATAAGTCATAGTAATCTTGGCAGTTTGCATCATGGCTGTGAAATAATTGTCTTTTATTATTTGTTTACAGCTTCTGCGCCCACAAGGTTTAGAGGATTCTAGAGAGCTAGCTGGCAAACCTCTCTCTGTATTCGCTGGCTTTGTAGAAGCAGTTAGGTGGCAGTTGCAGCAGCAGGTTAAAGGGAAGCTATAACTATCAAAAGTTCAAACTCCACCAGCTCCATGAATTTCGGCACAAGAATTGTACTGAGTCATGCTGGCCCATCCATCAGGACATTGCAGTCCAGCTGAAGCAACCCAAGAGACCAGGTAGTGAGGGCCTTCATCTTGCACTTGTAAAACACACCATAGCTATTTATAAGCACACTGATTTCAAATTATTTTTATTTTTTTCTTAGTTGGTTATGCAATTAAATATGGAGTACACTATTGGTATTTATCATGTCAGCAATTTTAAAGGCCTGCTATTGAGCAGTTTTTTGATTTCTCTGGTTATTTTAATAGTTTATTTACACATTTGTGACAATTTCAAAACAACTGCCAGCCCACAGGAGTGATTAACCAGTAGGGTTGTCCAAGTTTAAGAGCTTGGATGCAGCACATGCATGGATACAGCATGTAAAAAGAAAATTGCAGAGATTGGCATTTTAAAATAGATTTTGCATAATTAGTCCTATAAACCAATATGACCACCTGCCCATGAGACATATCACCCACATCCTTATTGTTTTTACTGTAAAAAACACTTTCCTTTGCCTTAGACTAAATCTCCTTTCTTGCAGTCTAAATGTGTGACCTTGTGTCCTATGCATAGTTCTGGACAATGGTTTATATTGGCGCCGCATATATTTATATAATGCGATCATATGCCCCCTAAGGGGCAGTTTTTCTAAACTAGAGAAATTAAAATTTGTTAACCTTTCTTCATAACTAAAATGCTCGATTCCTTTTATCAAATTTGCAGCCCACCCCTGCACTTTTTGTAGTACCATAATATCCTCCTTAACAATAATAGTAATATGTTTGGTTTTTTAAAATCACGTAAGTAATTAATTGACTTTAAGAGGTGGCCAATTATAACAGCATGCTATAGTAAGCGAATAAAGATTGCATGCAGCAACATAAATTGAGTTGCAATTTTAACAAATATTTTAAATTTTGCAACTTGGGCCATGTAAACCATTATGGCCACCAGAGCATAGAATATAAGGGCTTCACATTGTATGTGGTGGAACAAGCCTTAAATATTTATCGGCACATTGATTTTAAAGCATTTTAGTTATACAGTTTTTAAAAAAAAAGAGATGGTAAAGCTTTTGAAGAGTTCAAAATGGCTGCCAAACCTCGTGACTGACCACCTGACTTCTCTTAAATAAATCCGAATGTTGGCCATTGCATAGCTCCACAAATGATGTTTCACATCTGTCACAAACGGTGTGACGAGACCAATCTGGCCACATTGCATTGGAGGAGCCTGGTTGCCTGCCAGCTGCCTTTTGATTATGGACCGGCATTTAAATAAGTTACTTTCCCCTGCAGAAAGGCTGAACGATCAACCACCTGGGAACTGGAGTGTGCCATCAATTGACCTCCCAGAAGCTGCGGTTAACCACAGCTTAATTGACGGATGCTGGGTGGCCTTTGTTCGTTTGCCGAACACATGGCGGCGGCCATTTTAAAGTCCCGAACGGCCAGCAGTGTTCACCGCCCAAACTATGGAACTGGAAACGGACACTTATTTGCGCGAACCCCACTGAGCCGTCAGCCTCCTTGCTTCTGCATTCGGTCATTTAACCGGATGCCTGTTCATTCGGTAGTTTAACCGTATGAACAGCATTACCAGATAGCCGTGCCATGGAGCCTATTCGTGTAACGAAAGACTATGGGAAAGACTTTAGCTCCATGGTGATTGAACTGTATGTATGTGATCTGAGCGCCATCTGGTAATAATGTGCGCTCAGATCTAAGCTATCTGGGGATAAGGAGAATGTATATGTTTTGTGCAACGGTTGTAACTTTGTACATTTTTATGTCTTTTACTGTCTTTTACTGCCATGTGGTTAATGGAGTTTTACTTCCCAATTATCTCCAGGACAGAGGGAGGGAAATTAGGATGCATTGTGGGGTTGTTTTACCTCTGTGTGTCTGTCATTGGTTCATGTCGGTCCTTTGTCACAGTCTCCCATTTGGTCCCTAGGGGAGTGTCCACCAGCTGGGAGACCTGCATAAATACTGGGCAGGTAGCCTTCAATAAACCAAACCACTGCTTGACCCTCAACATGGAGCTCTGTCTCGTCTTTGGGGGGGATATACTGTATGCTGTTAGAGACTGATTGCCAGGAGTGTAAGCCACTTGGGTGCTTTTCCTGTTCGTCTGCTAGCAGCTATTCGTGAGGTTCCAGTTCGGGAGTTTGGAGTGCTACTTTGTACGCAGTTTGGGAGTTTGGAGCATTCCCTTGTATGCAGTTTGGGAGTTTGGAGCATTCCCTTGTATGCAGTTCGGGAGTTTGGTGTTCTGCAGTAGCTGTGCCTGTGTCTCTGGAAGGGAAGATCTACTAAATGGCGTTTAACTCCTTTTATGCCTGGGGGGTGCCGTTAAAAACGGTGTAAGAGACAATATTGTAATTTTTTTTAATTTGTTTTTTTTAAACCCATCGTGTGATATCAATAATTCACATACAGCGGCTTACTGCAAATCTTTGCATTTTGTCAAAGTTTTATGGATGTTAAACTGGGCTGGGGATGACCCACCGGCCATGGTTCATGTTGGTACCAATGACAAAGTTAGAGGAAAATGGAAGGTCCTAAAGAATGATTTCAGGGAATTAGGTAGCAAACTTGAGAAAAAGACCTCCAAGGTGGTATTCTCTGAGATACTACCTGTGCCACACGTTACAGTGGAAAGGCAGCGGGAGATTAGAGAGGTCAATGTGTGGCTGATGTCTTGGTGTAGGAAGGAGGGTTTTTGTTTTTTAGAGCACTAGGTCGACTTTGCGCTTAGTTACAAACTTTATAGCCATGATGGATTGCACCTAAATGGGAGAGGGTTGGCAGTGCTGGGAGACAGGATGGCCAGAAGGTTGGAGGAGATTTTAAACTAGTAGGGGGGGGGGGGGGGGTAGTAGCAATCTACAAAATGGATATAGGACAGAAAGGAGATGGTCTTTTGCTCAGTAAAAGGGGGGTGGAGACGGAGAGAGGGGCAAACTCAAAACAGAGGAGGTATGTAACATTGCTAAAAATTCACAAAAAGTGCAAGTGACTCATGATAATATTAAATGTATGCTTACTAATGCAAGGAGTCTAACAAAAATGGGAGAACTAGAGGCAATAGCATACACTAAACAATGTGGCATAATAGGCATAACTGAAACATGGTGGGATGAGACACATGACTGGGCAGTTAACTTAAATGTATACACTGCCCACTATTTAGGAAGGATGGAAAAAACAGAAAAGGTGGTGTGGTATGTTTGTATGTCAACCATGAGTCAAAGCCAAATCTTAAGCAAGTGTAAGTGTAAGAGGAAAGACGGGTATTAAAGACTATATAATTCACGATACACCGATATCTGTCCTGAATCAGTATAGTGAAGATTTAGATTTATCAAGTTGAAATAGTAAAGGAGTTGACAACCTAGCGGTTTTGTGTAGCAGATAGTACCTTTTGAAGCTCTAAAAAGACAGAATGGCTCCTACTCCTGTCTCTGACGCATCTACTTCTAAAATAAAAGGTTTAGTCGGATCAGGGTGCGTCAGGACAGGTGCTGAAGCAAATAAAGATTTTAATCTTTCAAATGCCTCCTTTGCTTCTTTTGACCATAAATTACAATTTGTTCCTTTCTTGGTTAGGTTGGTAATAGGAGCGATTACTGATGAGAAATTCTTAATGAACTTACGGTAATAATTTGCAAAACCTATAAAGCATTGTGTAGCTTTAAGGCCTTTGGGTAACGGCCTTTGCAAGACTGCTTCCAGTTTGTGTGGGTCCATTTTGAAACCAGAAGAGATATAACATTGCCAAGAAACTGTATCTCAGTCTGGTCAAACTGGCATTTTTCCAGCTTACAGTATAAGCCATTTTTTAACAGGGTTTTTAGTATGATTCTCACATGTCCGTGATAAGTTTCTAGGTCTGTTGAATAGATGAGAATATCGTCTAAATACACTAGTACGAATATGTGAAGATATTCTCTAAGGACATCGTTAATCAAGTCCTGAAATACCGCTGGGGCGTTGCATAGGCCAAAAGGCATAACCAGGTACTCATATTGTCCCATTCTCATATTAATCAGTATAGTGAAGATTTAGATCTATCAAGCTGAAATAGTAAAGGAGTTGACAACCTAGCAGTTTTGTGTAGCAGATAGTACCTTTTGAAGCTCTAAAAAGAAAAACTGATTTATCTAACATATTTTTATTTATCTAAAATTGAAAAATGTCTTAAAAAACATTGTGATATCTCCTCCAACTAAACTGGATGAGTATATAGCAGTTTCCCAATTAATTTTTCCCTTGGAACCCTTTGACATGGTATAGAAAAATGTTGCCCTTCCTTAATTCTGACTAGGTTGTATGTGCTCCTCAGATCGAGTTTTGTGAATACTTGGGCACCCCTCAACCTATCAAATAGCTCAGAAATAAGGGGAATGGGATAGGCGTCTTTAATCGTAATTTTATTTAGACCCCTATAATCAATACAAGGGCGTAGGTCTCCTTCTTTTTTACAAACTAAGAAGAACCCAGCCCCAGCAGGTGAAGAGGATCTTCTTATGTGACCCTTTCTGAGAGCATCCTTAATGTATTCTTCTAAACAAAGGGTTTCTTGAGGAGAAAGTGCATAAACTCCTCCTTTAGCGGGCATAGTGCCGGGTAACAAATTAATGGCACAGTCGTAGGGCCTATGTGGAGGTAATACCTCCGACTGAACCTTGTTAAATACTTCTTTTAAGTCCAAATACTGTGGTGGGATTTCTGTGGTTATGGGAGGTGCTATAGGTACATTGATGGAACCGATTCATTTAGGCACTTTTTTTAAGCAATGACCTCTGCAACTCTTTCCCCAACTCACAATCTCTCCTTCAACCCAATCTAGACATGAATTGTGTTTCTGGAGCCAAGGAAAACCGGGTATAATTGGACATGTAGGGGAAGATATAATTTGAAAAACCATTTCTTCAGAATGTAAGAAACCTACTGAGACAGTGATTGGTATAGTTTCGTATGTGATGAGAGGTTGAGTAAGAGGTCTCCCATCGATAGCCTCTACTGCTGTGGGTCTGTCTTTCTGCCTTAAAGGCAGAAGATGTTTGCCAGAAAATTCCTTATCAAGGAAATTCTCC